TTCTTCCTCGGTGTTGCGAGTGCAATTGCGTAGGAGCGACAGCAAGGCAGAAGACCAAATGAAACTGTCACAACATATAATTATTACAGCTGAACATACTAAAATTTATTTTCACATCGAATTTAAAGCACTTATACGCCAACTTTATTACCACATTAGGATCCGATAAACCAGCCGTCTTACTAATCGTACGCTAAAAATCACAAAACTGGATTGGATTTCAAAAATTAACGAAATTTTACATGTTCCCGGACATTTTGTATGACTAATTCAGTATCGTGCTATATCATTAAGGGAGAAAAATGCGCAAGTGCGTGTGCTCTGCGAGAATTGTCGAAGATAAGCTTGCAGAAATGCATCTTCAAGGTAAAGTTTTGAATGTCCCTCCGCTCACTTCAGCCGCGTTTTTATTTTGGATCATTAATCGCCTCACCAAAAAAAAAATTCAGTTTGATTTTTTGGAGGTACTGCAAATACTCGAAAGAAATTTCTAAAGCGCTTTTGTGGTTGTTTAAGAAACTGTTCCAAAAAATATACACAAATTTCCAATTCATACAAAGCTGAATGGATTCTGCAACTACAAAAGAAAAGTAAGCCATGCTTATGAAAAAAAAAATCTCGCAAAGCAAACAGATCCCCGGAATGTCATCTGAAGCCCATTCAAGAAGTCTTCGCTGAATAGATTAGATCCAAAACAGATCAATCACAAAGACGGCTAAGAACAGTATGGATGCAGCGAGCATGCATTCGCTCATCTCGGCATTAGCCCTACAAACGCCAACCACCGCTGTTGCTGCCGGTGCCGTCGCTGTTGTCTTCTAATTCATATTTTTCTGGAGGTGAATAATAGGTCTTCAGTATTTGGGCTCGTTGCAGAGCCGGCATCGGAATGCGTTCTGCATCCACTGCCACAGGTTCGCAGAATGGTAAAATTAAGCTATCCGTAAGCTCGCCAACAATGAACTGCTGCCCACTGCTGGCAGCGTACAGTGAAGGGCTGCTAGAATCTGAAACGACGCTTTTTTGCCTGCTAATTCAGGAAGCTCCGTACCGCTGCGTCCCAGTCCACTGCTCGCAACATAGCAAAAATGGCCAGTGCATCATCCGTCAGAAACTGTGTTAATTTTCTTCTCTTCCTTCCATTTCACTGTTACTGAGGTAAGCAAAAAATGGAAAGAAATTTCATTCTTGTATGTTTGTTATGTGTTGTTGAGAACCCCCTGCAGTAGTGGTCAAAGCAGCGGGAGAAAACGTTAGCTGCGCAGCTGGAAAACCATGCTATGAATTACAACTGACATGTTAAAATGCTAATTTGAAAGCCAAAATAAATTATTAGTCACTTTCTTCGTGCTATAAAAAAATGTGCTTATGAGTTCAGAGTTAGCAGAAAGAGGGAAATTTCCGGTTAAGGCCCATCCATATAACGTGAATCGCAACGCGTTTGAAAAACGCGGTAGAAATCACTTGATGAAAATGCAGTGAGAGCAAAGGGTTTTTCGAGCAAGAAAACTCGTATTTCGATTCAACAAGATGAGATTTCATTGAATACTGGATGGAGAATAGCCGTGAACTGAACAGAACCAGACAGTCTCCTGGAGTTATCCGAATTATAAATCGGTCAGGCTCTTCAGTTCATTAATATAAAATTAAAAGCTTGTTTTCAGTTAGAACAAGTACAGACAGTCAGCATGGAGCAAACTGTACATTGGCGATTTACCATGCGCATATTGCGGCGGCGTGTGAATGTACGGTGGTGGCGGAAGAATAGTAGTTGTTGCTTCATCCTTTTCCTCTTTTCCTACAAAGTTATAGTAAAAAGTTAAAAAATAGGTCTTCTTCCAGGAAACGGCACATTACAAAGAAACATGCACTGAACAAATACACAGAAATTCAGATATCATTGAAGAATCAGTAGAGGAAAGAAATTTTAAAACGCGTTTAATCTCAGAATGTTCCCGAACTTTTTCTTCTCTTCAAAAAGGAACAGTGCTCGCTCTGCAGGGGAGGCGGAGGCACTCGGGAAGTAGCCACAGCAGTAGAACTGCCAAAAGTAACAACCCGCTAGTGAGGCTATCAATGGCTCTCTCTTTCGAAGATTATGTAGGAATATGCTGATGGTAGGTTTGATTCCCAAGTATATGTAATTACCAATTTGCCATCAAAACAAATGAACAAATCATACAAGAACTGTAAATCTTTAATTCTTGACCTTAAATCTACGAGTTTTTCCATAAAAATTCATAAGCAAAAATGGGTAAACGAACCATATTCACGCTGCGGCTGTTCCTCTTCCTCGAAACCGCTGCCTTCCTAAAGCGCATACACTGTATTTCCCATAGCAGAATTACAACAAAAAATTTAAAATTCTAGGAACCCGTGTAATTAGTGCAAAGAACTGGGGCTCAGAGCTGCAAAAAAGTTTCACTGAATTTCGGCTTCGAAAACGATGCATTTGTCCGTAGTCCGATCGCCATCTCCAGTCACCCGGTTACTGAACTATCGATGCTCTGCTCTTCAGGGAAATACTTAATAAGCGTTCACAGATGCACAGCATCCTTGTCCATGTCAGTAGCAATCTTCAACTTCCAAACATTTTAGTTCCGGTTTATTTTTAAAA